TGGGAAAGCGGTGCACTTAGATGCGTGCCGCAATATTTACTCGGGTGATTTATAAAGGGAAACCGGCGTAGGAAGTGTCGTACGCACTTTCCTCGCCGGTACGCAATGTTTTGTGAATCGGAAAATGTCGGAACATTTCTGTACCTATTTTTTGGATTTCTACTACGTAAGCAACCTTCCCACGTGAATCCTACGCACGGCGTTATAAATGAGGCCCCAGGGATGTAGCGCAATTCACATAAGGAGCTGCACATGCCGCAGTTTTTGCGTAGCTGTGTCTTTAGTTGAAAGCCAAGTGGCGATCTGCTCATCTGTCATCGAAAATAATATGCTACACAGCCATTAAACCAACCACAGCATTGGAGTTTCAGCATGTATTGTGCTCACCTGGCATACAGTGTTATTTCCTCCTGAGTCAATAACGAGAGCAGCATGTTCTATAAATGTAAAGTCTGTTTATAGTTTTGATCATTTAGACTGAATTCAGAATGTGAATGATGTCTCTGTCCTCTCAGGCTCTCCCTACAAAGAGGAAATCACTCTGGGGATCCTTCAGCTGCAGGAGAGCAACCGGCTGGAGATCCTGAAGAGACGCTGGTGGGAGGGGGGGCAGTGTCCCAAAGAGGAGGACCACCGGGCCAAAGGTGGGTGTCACAGCAGAGCCGAGACACTGAGCAGACACCTGAGAGAACCATGTCCATCTTTACATCCAGACTCTACCAGAAAGCCAATCAAAGTGTTGTATACTCCATGTTGGACAAAATATCCTCTCCCTCCTGCATCTGTTGACCCCCGGGGGGTGATAACAGAGACAGGTTATAGTGTCCTCTGATCATCTCTTAGACAACCAGTGGTAGTTTCTCCTCCATTTAAGCGTTTGCCAGTAATTGCAGTGTAGTGGTGATTGTGAGGGACTGTGGTTCAGGTTCAAATGGATTAAAGCCATGAGTCGCTCAGTCCCTCTCAAAGAACACATCCCTAAAAGTTCAGAGGAGAATCACACAGCCGCTGGCATCCTGACATCTCAGTTTAGTTCAATCACTAACAATGTTCAAGATAAGATATGATATAAATGACCTTAAAGATTATCAGATTATAAATTGTTTATGATGCTTTATTGACCTAAATGCTACATTTGACAAGATATTTATGCTCATAATAAAATGCTCTTGAAAAGAAGGTATAATTACATGTTCAAGTATTAATTGAATGTGTAAGCATGCAAACATAAGCTTAGTAGGACAAAACACAGCAAAGTACAGCTGAGACTAATGGGATTGGTCTAAAAAACAAACCAAATCGAAAACCATTGCAGCTCATCCACTATTGGATGGATTATCAGTGTGTTGACATCCATGTCCCCCAGTGGATAATCCCCAATGACTTTACACCAGCAAGACTAGTTACTAAACATACATACATACACACACACACACACACACACACACACACACACACACACACACACACACACACACACACACACACACATGTGTTTCAGGTCTGGGCATGGAGAACATTGGGGGGATCTTCGTGGTTCTGATCTGCGGCCTCATCATCGCCGTCTTCGTGGCCATCATGGAGTTTGTTTGGTCGACGCGGCGCAGCGCAGAGACGGACAAGGTAAATCTTCATCATCACCCTCCTCTTCCTCTCTCAGCATCCTCCTGCCCCGCCCCCGGCCTCCACCTCAACTCTAACACCTCAGTAGGTCGCCCGTGTGTGTGTGTGTGTGTGTGTGTGTGTGTGTGTGTGTGTGTGTGTGTGTGTGTGTGTGTGTGTGTGTGTGTGTGTGTGCGTGCGTGCGAGGAATATGCATTTTTCATCATCCGGTTTCTTAATGAAAATATTTGACTTCACTTAATGTTTCTGTCACATTAAAAAATGTTGCTAGTTTTTATTTTCCTAAAGTTAATCAAACGTAAAGATTTGTATATTAGAGAATAAAAAACTAAACGCAGTTACAGTTAACATTGATAATAATTACTAATACAACTAATTAATAAAGCTCCCCTTTATATTATTGTTGTATCTGTAACCCAAATGTCCCGTAGCCTCTCTGAACACCCTGGGACTCTGCGTTGTGTTTGTTATTGGTGATGGGATGTTATGCAGAGGGGCGGAAAACAGGACACAGTAGATCGGATTGCGGTGGAGACGCTGAGTAGTGATTTATTCTTCACAATGGCAGCTCTTCTGACACACCTTTTGCGGAGTGAATACAAACATTAGCGCATTAGCTACATGCTAACCAATACAATAACCAAATGAACAGACAAAACATAAACATCTCACTCCCAAACATACACAACCGGGTAAATAAACATTTAAACTAACCCATTAATTAAATAAATGGAATGTTTGGACGTTTTTAACGTAATAATGTGTACAATTATTTGCCGCCATTAACAATGCTCACCTTTCGTGGAGTGAATACAAACATTAGCGCCAAGATGGCGGCCGCACCCAGAACAACAGGAGAAATACGGTGTCCCACAATGGACAAAAAACAACAATTTGCTGCGCAACAGCAACACCTAGTGGCCTGTCAAGGCTGCTACCTTACATCTACCCCTTCTTTAATTGATGGCGTCCCAGCCATCAG